ACACACACACAAAACAAAATAACAGTTGGAGATTCATATGGCAGTTCTATAGGTGCCTTCTATCTTATTGCTTTACTATTCTAATATCAGTTTTCCCCTCATGATCTAAGAATGGCTACTTCAGCTCCTGGAATTACATTAACATTCCAGCCAGTGGCAAGGAACAGAAAGACAGGAAGGGTACATTCCTTCTCTATAAGGGAATAACTCAGATGTTATCACCTCGCTTTTGCTTGCATCCTTTTGGCAAGAACTTAGTCATGTGGGTACAACTAGCAACAAGACAGTTGGGAAATAATGTGGAAATATTGTCTGTGTGACCACTTAAAACTCAGAGATTTTCTAAAATTAAAAAGGGGAGGATGAATATTGGAAGGCAGTAACATTCTGTGCTGTAATCACCATCTTTTGGCAGTTGCCAAAAGAAGTGGTTGAATAGTTTTGAACTTAGAAATGAGTATATAATTCGGGGTAAAATGGGTGTCTGTGGAGACACAATTATATTTATGCATATTTTATGCAATTTTGTATCCTATTTTGTGCAATTTTGTATCCCTACCATCTAGCATAGTATACTACTAAAAATAAACACGTAAAAATATGTTTGGAATGAATGACCATCCTTCTTTTCTTTTCTTGTACAATCTGTATTAGATATGTATTCTTTTTTTACACTTGCCATATATTCGTCCTTATCCATATTTCACTTCCTTTCTCAAAGGGGATTTAAAAGTCGAGATGATCATCATTCATAGGATGATAAAGGAGTACTTTGTATCTCTCTGTGTTTAAGTCTGTATGTAAAATCTAATAGGAATCTGAATTAACTTAGAACAACAAAGGACCAATTTTCCCTATCCCCATACTGACAATTTTAACTTCTATTATCATGTTTTAATTATAAAAAAGAGTAGCTGTATTCTTTTGAATGTTCAGTACTGTGTCTGAGAATTCTGAAGATTTTTTTAAATTGATACCCAAGGCCACTAATTGGTTTGTGAAGATGTTTTCTCTGCACTTTACGTGTATATTTTATGTATTGACCAGCTATGCCTAGAGGAGATAAGACAATCTGAGGAATAAAAGTGTTCGGACATGATTTTTTTTTGTATCTCAAAATTAGGTATTTTATAGGCATTTTAATCATTTATCTTGTTTTTGGCCTTCTATTAATATACAGATTCATTTGTTCTTGTGTTAATTTATACTACACATTTTAAATAACTCTTAAGTGTCAGGTGCTGCATTCAGTGTTGGGAGCATGAAGATGCATGAGACCCAGTGTGCACCTCACTCAGCTTAGTGTCAGTGCCACACCATGTGGGGAGTGCTGTGCCAGGCCCCCACTGTGGGGTAACTGAGGGGGAAGCAAGGAGCCTGTGAGGCGATGGGGGCAGGCGGGATGCCAACATGATTCACGTGAGCCTTGATTATTAAGAAATAATATGGCAGTAGTTTCATCTGATGGGAGTGATGCATACAAAGTGTGAGTTAGAGATGGATCAGAGAGCTGGATCGTGGAGGACTCTTTATACGCCATGCAGAGGAGTGGGGACTTAATGTCCCCAGGTCAGTGGCTTTCAAACCTTTTTGTCCACAACCCATAGTAATGCCTGTGTTTTTACACGATGACTTATTACTAGGCCCTAACATTTGCAAGGCCTGGGCAAAAGGACAAATGGTAGCATAGATACATACAGTATAGCTAAATATTTAAAACTCAAGGCAAAAAAATGTTAGAAAAGGATACACCAACCTACCTTGACACATATATCTTATAATGAAAAATGATACCAAATAACTGAGAGTAGTGCAAATTTAAAATTAATTTTGTCTTCCACCAAAAGACTATGAATTTACCCTAGGAAATGCCAGGGCAGTGGTAACTGGGCCAAGCTGGAGGAGAGGAGGGAAGGCTCACTCAGCTTTCTCTTCCAGTGGCCATGGAATCTGTAGATAAATACCTCCTTTCTCTTGCTCTTTTCGTGGGGAGGGGCTCTTTCATTTCTGCCAGAGGCTCTGGGCCCCCACCCGTTGCTCCTTCTATACCCAAAGGCATTGAGTTCCAAAGTGATCTAGTTCATGCCAATCCAGTCCAAGGGCAACCTCTGGCCCCCAGGTGCTCTCAGCCACTCACCCTCACAGGAGGGTTTGCATTAAGAGTTCTTTGAGCAGGAATGTGAAGGGGTAGTGAGACAGCTAGCACCTGCTTTCTATGGCACACCTTTTTTCCATTCTTTTAGGGCCAAGGGGTCCCTCCAGCCCTCAGGTTCAAGCTCTTTCATTCAGCTGACAACTTCTGGCCACTTCTTGGACTGGAGGTACACACATGCTAGTAGTACTACCTGACCTGAAGAAGGGGCCCATGTAGGTCAGAGAAGCAGCTTACAGCCATTTGGGTAGAGAATGATGGTGACCCTGGTAATCAGAGCCTCAGGTGGAAAAGAGAACTCCTTGGCTGGTGGAAAAGAGCACAGGCAGAGGAAGGCCAGAGAAAAGCTTCTTGCTCACTATTGGTGGATCTGAAGGGAAGGAGGACACTGGTTATGAGGTTATTCAGCCAAGGAAAGGCCTAAAGATGGTGAAAGTGAAGATAGAGAGGAGGGGAAGGATGTAGAATCCACAGGTCTTGATGGCTAATTAGATATTGGGGGTGCAGAAGAAATCTAGAATAATGCCATCATTTCTGATGTGTGCCATTTAAGGCCACAGTGTGACATTCAGGTAGTATTTTGTTTATTATTTGGATATATGGGTCAAGATATGGTCAAGTAAATGTCTTCATTTGGACAGTTTATTAAGATGGGAATTTCTAGGCTCCATCTACTAAATCAGAATCACCAGGAGAAGTCCTGGGAGCCTGCAGGTGAGCAAACTCCTGTGGTGATTTTGAGACACATGTGTACCCTAGAGAGTGGGAACAGTGTTTCAGGTGGCCTGAGGGCTGAACTCTGGTGCTCACTAATACTTAAGGGACAGGAGGAGGAAGGGAAGTGACAGACACACTGGAAAGAAGTGGGTAGTATGTCCGATGAAAGAGAGAGGTTTAGTAAAGGAAGGACGGTGACACGGCTTGTGCATTTAACATTGGGAAGCTTCCGATAAACCTTAGCAAAGGCAGATCACACTGGTTCAAGGATTGAATATGTTGGGAGATTAGGAAAGGGAGATAGATGATATAGGATATAGTCTATACATCTTTTTTACATTACAATTTGATTGTAAAGCCAGACAAAAGAGGGATAACAAAGCAAGGCACAGATTTGAAGGAGTCCTTTAAAAACAATTCTGGAGCACTTACATGATGAAGGGAAGAGGAACCTGTGGAGAACCAGATATTGCAAATAAGGCAGAGAAAAGGAGTAATTGATACAGTATGGTTTCAAGGGAGATGTGAGATGCATTTTAGGAGCCAGAAGGAGGGAAGCTTAAGCAGAAGGAAGAACACCTCTGGCTTCTATACAGTTAAGAAGGAGAAAGGGCATGCATAGATGCAAAATATTATCTTAACAGACATTTGAACACAAACTCTAGTCCCAATTTAGGTGTTGTGGCTACAGAGGTTATATAAGGCATGGCTGTAGTTGAGTGGGGGAGATAGACAAGGAAACCAGCAAGATAACATGTGGCAAGTGTTGTTAGAGTTGTGCTAAGAGATGGTGGAAACACAGAGGAGGCATGAGACAAGGCTTTGCAGAATTGGAGAGAGGGCAAAATATGAAAATGGGTTTGTACCTGAAATAGAAGGCAGGGACATGGAAGAGAAGGGTTGAGATGAGGACTATGGTAGGGCCAGGACTTAGGGAAAATGTGCATCAGGATTACGGCGGTGCTGATTGATAACCATGGATGCAATTTTACATGTACATGTATATGTGTGTATTACATATTACACACGTATGTGTATATATTTTATATATATATATACACACACACACAATCATACAATTATGAGTATCAGCTGAAACTTTGTTTGGGAGGACTTCAGAAAATCATTGTTTGTGACCAAGGAAACTTCTTGCTTATCCTTCCCTTTTCCCCTTTGATAACTTTTCTTGAGGCTAATTTAGGTACAGAAAGCCACCGCTTCCAAAAATGCTTGGTACCCTGGCATAATTTCAAAGAGATCTCCTTTCCCACTTAGTTAACTACATTTCTCCAGGAAAAAAAAAAATCTTCTCTGTCAATGTAACATCCTTTAACAGGACTCCTGCTGGTCGGTTCTTATATCTTGCTGTGGCAGCTGTGAACATATATACTATTGATTGTTGATGTGTGATATAAATCCGACGGCAGCATGCCCACTAATTGGTTTGAGAGCTAGATATAGACAATGCTGTTTTATAGTAGCTTGTGTAGATAGGCCTAGTCATAGGGTTAATTCTGCTTGACAGCACATCAGCAGCATCTTGAGAGTAATTACCTAACAGAAGTTTTCCCACAGCCAAACTGAGAGCTTCAAAGGCTTCTGAATTTACAACCAGTATTAACCAATATCTGAAACATAATGTTCCCACAAGAGCTCAGAATTTTTTCTTCTTATTATTAAATGTATGGGGTTACTAGGTTCATTTGCTGTGTCCAAAGAATTTAGTGAAAAGTTACTTGGTGTTGAATAATTTCTCAAACCTTGAATAATAAAGAGAATAATTATGAATTTGGTTTTGTATTGCTTTATTAACTTACTGAAACAAGTTAATCTGTAAAGGTCAGGTGCCTTTTAAAAAAACATATTTTATCCTGTTTCACCCAAAAACAAATTTAAAACGTTAGTATCTTTTCCATATTGTGCTATCTGTATTGATATTTGCATATTTAGAGGGCCTAGGGTAATGCATGCATTTAAAATGGTTACAATACATATATATATTTATATTTTAGAAATATACACTGAAAAATGTAACTATGACCTCCCCTCCCAACCACAGCTCCCTTCCCCATGAAATAACTGTTCTTTTACAACAGTTTTTATATTGTAAAAACTTTCTTTCTCTTTGCAGGTCAGAAACCAAATTTGACTCCGGTTCAGGTATGTTTACATTAATAATGCTATTTTGAATATATTTTATTTACATTATTCTCTGGGGAGTAATTAATCAGATCAAGAAACATTTTGATTTTAAACAGACTGGGCAGTCTTTTTTCAAAACGTGAGTCCCACCTCAAAGCAGGGCTATTGACTGCTTCAAATCATAATTTGAGATGTTCACTTTGGAGTCTTCATAGCTCTACAATAAGCATTACATGCCCTATATCTGCAGAGTTTCATTTTAAAAGCAGAGGTGGGGGTTATACATGCTAATTGCTCAAAGTAGATTATTATTTTCTCAGTGGACAAAGCATCCTGAGTAATTTGAAAATTCTCTTTAAGTTGTCACCAAATGTGGGAGATAGATGCATTTGATTCAGCAAACTATAGAGAGTTCAAGCTAATAGAAATAGAAATTTGTCTATGGCTTACTAGCTTATTTTCTCTAAAAAAAATTTCATTGCTAGATGGGTGATAGAAAATGAAGGTCACCTTAAGCCATTATTTTGAATCTATTATGACAAAATTTACATTCTCACAAGCAGTGGCATATCAGCCTCATTAGACATTTTCTTTTCATTAAGCATGAATGTAGCTATATAATTCTCAGGTTTGACTATGTCATTATGTCACTTGCTGAGATTTATGTGCTTCACTGTTTCTGATGGCATTTACAATTAAAGCACAAAAATTGCCTCATGTCTCCTACAAAGGAATTATGTGTGCCCTTTGGTAGACTAACAAAAAAATAAACATTAATTTTTGAATTCCAGGAGAAAATAATTTACAGAAAAATATATAACTTGTTGAATTTAAAAGTAACATTTTTACTCTGGTTTGAGTTTCACTATATTGTAACTTGAAAAATGTTTTTACTTATTACGTTCACAAAGGAACAAGTGCTATATATTCTTTTTGATAGTAGTGTTAAGGGGATAACACACTTTTTCTTCTTTGTAAGCTTTGTCTTTTATTGTATAGTTTTGTGAATTTGGTGAGACTCATTAACTACAAAGTCTGTACATTTGAGTTAACAAATTTACCCAGTTTGAGAACTCCAGAAATCTTTGTATCCTGTGTCTTCTGCAGCATCTGAATCAGATGTGTGAATGACAGTATAAGATAAACATTTTTGGTTGAAAACATTGACTATATAGAGACTAAAGGTGGGATGGCGTTGTATCAACTGTTTGACTCCTTGATTCACAAATGGCTCAAAATGAGACAAAAAATCTTTTTCATTTTTTAACAGTTAAAATCTTTATAATTAAAAATAAATGAATGAAGTAGATGGAAAGTGCATTTTTACATAAAAATTACATGTCTTTTTTTCCCTGCCAGTCACCAAATATTTATTAAGAACCCACTTGATTATGATCTGATGTAATTCCCTGAATATCAAGTCAGACACTGGTTTTAGGGTACAGGGTCTGGAATATAGCTTTTAAAAATGAATAAGTCCACTAGGTTCATTTCTAAGGTAGAACCTGGAAGTAGTGTACAAAACTGAAATATTAGGCAGCTATTGTCAAAGTCAGACAATTTATGTTAAGTTTTCAAATCCAAATTAAAGTGTGTTGCTAAATTCCTGTAGTGAAAGTAAGTATTTATCATGAAAATAGTTATAACATCTGTACAGGCACACATCTTTCACTCTTGTGACCAAAGATTTTGTGCATGACTTATTTTTTTTTTCAAGTTCTTATTTAAAAAAAATATCTATCATGGACAACATCTGCATGTCTTTGAAAACTACAAAGTTCTGTACTCTGAAAAATCTTATAGGGGAATACTGATTAAAAGTTTATTTATTCTTTTAATTTTAAACTTAAATATGTTGTGGAAAGAATTCAGATGTTTTCAAATTAAGAAACGGAATTTTTTTTTATAAGCTCCTTTTAGCTTATGACTGAAAGAATCATGACAAAGGAAGTTAGAAATATATTCTTTGGCATCCTATAACATAAATTCTAAAATTTTGGTTAGAAATAAGGTAGCACAGGGCCGGGCACAGTGGCTCACGCCTGTAATCCCCAGCACTTTGGGAGGCAGAGGCAGGTGGATCGCAAGGTCAGGAGATTGAGACCATCCTGGCTAACACAGTGAAACCCCGTCTCTACCAAAAATGCAAAAATAATTAGCTGGACGTGGTGGCACATGCCTGTAGTCCCAACTACTCAGGAGGCTGAGGCAGGAGAATCACTTGAGTCCAGGAGGCGGAGCTTGCGGTGAGCCGAGATCTTGCCACTGCACTCCAGCCTGGGCGACAAGAGCGAGACTCCATCTTAAAAAAAAAAAAAATGAAATAAGGTAGCATATTGGAACAATTAAATGTGTGACTTTCATGGGTTCAGATTCTCTATTGTTCATCAAATACAGAAAGTAAACTATGTCTGTCTAATGTTGTATACAGCTGTGACAAAGTAAGATTTTTAAATGAAGGAATATGCCAATCTTACTAAGAAAAAAAAACCCATAAAAAATAAATACCATGGTCAGTGACTACCCATAATGGAAAGGATTTCAAAGTTAAATTATATGTGTGTGTGTGTATACACATACACCCACATACCTCCCCCGCCCCCACACACAAAGTATATCAAGGAGAGTACCCAACTTATGCAGAGCTTACTGCACAACATTTTTAGTTTATGTAAATAAGTTTTATGCTGTGGAGTGAGATTCAGGAGAAAGGAAGGAAAGTTTTCATTGTCAGCACATGGTAAAAAGTTTCATTTGTTGATTGTATACCAAATGATTATTTTCCTAGAAATTGATTTAAATTTTTTCTGATCAGAATCACATCTTTGTTTTTTTTTTACAAATGCAAATCCTCAAACAACCTCTTGTGCTTTTTAAGTTCACAATTTTTTATAATGAAAAAATTTCAACCATGTATAAAAGTAGAAAGTATAGTGTGATTAGCACCTATATAGTCATCATCTAAATGTTACTTTTGTTAATTCTTTGCCGAATTTGTTTTAACTTTTTTTTTTTTTGCTTGAAATATTTTAAAGCAAAATATATACATTTCATGTGATTTTTACAATCTGGAAATTATAGATGGTCTTGATTTATTAAAAGGAGTCAAAGTTTTGAGGTTTTCATCTATTTTAGAAATTTGAGTCACATACACATGATTGTGTAAAGGATTGTGGCATTTTCATGTCCATATCCAGTTGAAGACTCTTTGAAAGTCCTATTTATGGTGAATTGTATAGTTAAGAAAACCTTCAACCAGAAGGCAGAGGCCCTGACTTAATTCTGACCTGAGAACTCCAGAAATTTTCTATTCTCAAAATTAATTGAGTTAAAATGTCAGCTGCCATTTAGCTGTGGTCTCTATGTACTGAGTAATATACTGATTAGAAACCTTTTCTGTTGATTTATAACTCAATCACCTAAAGTTTTTGGCTTTGCCAATTGAGAACAGTCAGCTTACTTCTTTTTAAAAGGAGTTTTAAGGTTTCCATTTTATACCTTTTCCTAGTTGATGTACTAATGTTGGCTTGCCTAGGATTATGTGGAGTTGGTGATTTTACTAATAGAGTAAAACAGACTTCCTTTTATGTTCAGAAGTAGCAAGAAGCTATACTCTTCTCCCCACCTCCCAAGAAGGGAAGTTAGTTGATGCTGGAGGAAGCAGAGCATTGAGTTTAATGTAGTGATTAAACATGAAAGCCATATATCAAATCTCAGGAGAAACAAGCTTTTGAAAGAGGCAGAGAACTGTGGAGCATATTGCATGATAGGCTATATAAACAGAGCCCTGGAGGTCACTGTGTGGATGCAAACCAATTAAATAAAAGAACTTACTGGCTTTGCTTTCTGTCATCTGGATAGGGAGGATCACAAGTTAACATGCACAGGATTGAAGTGTAAACTTTGTTTAAATAAGCTAGGCACCTTTGGAAATTTCATTAACTCTTTCAATCCACTGCTAACGTATACTTTCAAAAACCAAAGTCTCTGGGAAGTTTTTAAAAAATCCAGAATATATGTTCTCTTGGCCCTCTGTACATACCCATTGGCAAAGGGTAATGAACTAGTAATGAGTAGGATAGAAGAAAAAGTGAAGGATGAGGGTGAAAAGACCAAGAGTTGGCTCTGTCGCCAAATTTCAAGAACGTGCTTGTCTTTCAAAATCAACCCATTTGGAAAAGCACAGCTCTTGCAAAATAACTGAAAAAAGATGTTTTTCTCTTCTGAGTTCTGGGTATAAGGATATAGGTGGAATTTACTAGTCACTAATACAACATCAGGATATTGTTATTTCTGTTCCAATAAAGTAGAATAGCTTTCTGACCAAGAAGAATCTAACTTATTTATAAGTTAACCTTATCTTATTAACTTATTTATAAGTTAATAACTGGATGTTAAGGACAGCTTGTACTGTAATTCTGTGTTCCTAACCTTATCAGGCAATGTTTGGGTGAGAAATGAAGTACCAAGTTAAATGGTATAGATTCATGGTCCATAAACATTCAAAACAAAGATTTTTTTTTTTTTTTTTTTCTATGGAGTCATGTTGGCTGAGAAAGTGAATAAGCTTATGTTTAGTGCTTGTTGATTCTGGGCTGCTTTGAATAGCTATACGAAGGAAATGGGCTCATAGAACACAGCAACTCAAAGGTATAAGATTTCATGAAAGCAAATTATGGAGGATTAAAAAACCTAATGAGCATGGTTTAGTGTGCAGAGTTGAGGAGGGAGCTCACTATTAAATAAAGCCGAGAGTGTAGAAGGTTAGGAGAGCCTAAAAGACATGATTATAAAAGGCACAACAGAATATAATTATGCTGAAGGAGGGGGTGGGGGTGGAATCAAAGGAACAAAAAGCAGCTAGTGTCGCTTTTAGGATCTGTAGTTAAAAAGGAATCTACACCAGGGTAAGGAAATCAAAGAACATAATCACTTAAAACTTGAGGCAAAAACGTAAGTGCGGGGAAAAATAGAGTGGGGCTGTTAAGGTAGTCACTAAGTTGAAGGGAAATGAGGAA